GATTGAGCAATGACCGTACTTGGTCATCAGTTTGACTTTGATAGCCTGAATGCTTGGATTGACATCGATAGCCTGTTCAAAGATGTTCATTAGAATCATAAACAAAAGTAGAATGAAAATTGAGATTGACTTACTGCCATCTCAAGCTCAGCATGTCGAGCAGGTTCCACCGCCGCCGGATTGCGGCGAGCCATCGCAGTATTGAATTTGTCTTCCTGTAGAGACAAAAAGAAGATGCAAGTCAGTACAATAGAAAAGAGGAAAGGGATTGTAAATGAAGTTACCTTTAAGAGAGTGCGAGCGGTCTTCTTTGGATTCTCCATAGTGAGGGAGAATCCAACTTCTTTTCCTTTCTTTAAAATCATCATATCCTTGAATGCTGTAAAGGTGGATTCCGAATCAATCACGGGCATCAAACTCTTACCAAAGACACCCCCATGCGTAACATAGCCTTTGAATACAACATGTCCTTCTCGAGTAGCAATCCTGAGTAAAGTTCCACATCCATTCTTGTTCTTGTCGCACAACTCAAATAAGCTTTCCTTCACTTCAGTCAATGTATTTCCATGAATTTGAACCATGACACCAAAGGGCGTCTCGTTGTTGTGGTCAGAAAAAGTTGGAGGTAGGCCGTTTCGTCTATCGGCGTCGGAAAGGCCATCGGGAATGTAAACATGGTAAGTCAAGGTGACTTGAGTGGGTTTACGTTCATTGGTAACGGGAACGTTCGCTCTTGGGGTTGGGCTAGGCGAGTTTGTCAGGTCCAACTGGACTGGTGTAGCTACCACAGAAAGAATTAGCTTCATTGGTCGGATTTGATGTTGAGAGAAGAGAAAGATTGAAAACTCACCAGACTTGCTACCCGCGATGTGATCATTACCAAAAGCTGGATCGATGAAATCCAAGTTGGGAAGGTTGTTGTTGGTAGCAGATGGTGCCGGTCCAGATATTTGAGGGCCTGGTGAGATTTTGATGAAAGATAGCACTACTACAATTGACATCTTTACCCAGGGGTATAGAAAAGTAGTGTGGGCATAGAAAACTATTGGTAGGGTAGTTTTCTATACCAATAAACAATGCTTGTGATACACCTATGTAAGATATTTGAGATTCAGAAATTGAGTATTTTCTTTGTGGTGACTCAGCTGTATGTATTGGGACCCAAAGGCAGTGCTACAGTGCACAGAATCTCAATTTTCTGTTTTTTTAAAATTCTTATCCTGAAATACAATTCTATGCTGATAAAAGAGATCCTCAACCATGTTCAGCAATGTATGTGAGTATGTATGCACAATCTTACACATATTGACAGACACCTTTTACATACGTACAATATGACTGATGGAACATGCTTTCCCATTGGACAAGACTCAAGAAGGGCTTTGAGTCTAGATTTATATTCAGTCCTTGTGGTCATGTGGATATTTTCATACGTGGGTATAGAACAGAATGGTTTGTCTAGGCATAGAGGACACTATCTCTATGGGTATAGAAAAGCACTTCACCCATAGTTTTCTATGCCCGCACTACTTTTCTATACCCCTGGGTAAAGATGTCATTTGGTGTAGATAGAATGCAAGATCGAATGAAACAAAATGTCAGTTTTGATTCGAGATGGTCAAGAGAAAAAGAGTAACTTGATGTTGAGAGAAGAGACAGATTGAAAACTTACCAGTAGTGCTACCCGGGACGTGAGCATTACCAAAAGATGGATCGATGAAATCCAAGTTGGAAAGGTCATCGTTGGCAGCAGATGGTGCCGGTCCAGATGTTTGAGGGCGTAATCGACAGCGGAACTCAAGAGGACCGCCTGGGCCATGAGGATCAATGTGGATCGTCTCCGAATCAAGGTATTGACGGTCACCGTTGAGTCAAACATGTTCCCAGTGGTGACCGGGTCTAAAAATGGAGATTCAACATTCATCAGAATGAATCAATGATGATATTGAAAAGAAAAGAACATGCTTACTTGTTCATATAAAAAAGGCTGCCACCGCGGCCACGAGGAGGACTAAGGCCTTCCATTGGAGCTTGTCTTGCTTTTTTATTGGCACTAACAAGAAAGAATGATTCGCAATTGAAAAAGCGATGAGATCGATTGAATGATTCGAGATTGATTGAATGATTCGAGATTGAAAAGGTGATGGGATTGAACATTGAGTTTAAATTGAAGAAGTCGGATATCAGTTGAGATTGAAAAGGAGGGAAATCGAGAAAGGAAACAAGATGGGATATCAGTTGGGGTCAAAAAGGAAATGATATCGTCAAAGGAAACAATGGTATTGAAGCTTGCGCTTCTTTTTGTAACTGCTGTGCCTGGTTGTCGAGTTCCCGACGTTTCGAAGTTCCTCTGGTTCTCGGCATATCGGTGAAGGTTTGCGGTATTGAGGGTATGGAGGTGGTGTCAAGGGTAAAGTGGTGGGATTGAGGGTAAAGTGGTAAACAGCTATTGACCGTAGAAACTGGTCAATAGCGAAAGTCATGTCTCAACATAAGCATAATGCTTATATTTCAAGCTGTATTTGCAGCTGTATCATTAAAATAAAATTGCAAAGGGACAACGTATTCTAGATTGACTGTAATCTTCTTCAAAACTTGATTTTATCAATCTGTACAGCACAATTACTTCATCATTACTTGTCATCAATAGCTCATGTGACACTATAGATTGACCAAAATTATGAGATCTTTAAAATGGGCTCTAATGATCATGAATCGGAGCACTTTTGTGAAAATTTGTAACATTGAAATTGGGTTTCAGCTCATATGGTAGCAATAAAAAGTCTTGAACCATTTTGAGAATACATTATCAAAATTTATAGTGGTTTATTTAGAGCACGTTCCCTTAGCGCAGTTTTGTAGAAATCAATTTCTAAGGTACCACTTTTGTACCTGTACACAAGCCTTTTTTTAATAAAATGTCTCATTTTCACTTTTTGAAAGAACATGATCACAAATCATCTGAAGAGTGTTTGCTTTCTTGACCTTTTAAAGGCAACAAGGCACAGAATGGGATTGGTGATGTTACAAACAACCATCACCCATTGTGTCAGATTCAGATTACTACAATTCAAACAAACGGTGCACTTATGAACCCAAACTCCGCCACTAACTACAATCTCATCATCATCATCATCATTGTCTTGATTATCTTCAACTCCTTCTAGTTTCATTGCACTTGATTTATTCTTATCATTTAGTCTATTCTTATCATTGAATTATCCTTATCATGTGGTTTTTTATTGTATGATGATTTTTCTTTTCTTCTCTTTTCTTAGATTTGAGATGCTGATCTAGATTTTTTGTTTGATTTTGTTTTGATTGATGCAACTTGTTTCAAAGTTAATGGTTGATCAATGGAGTTGTTGCTACTGGTATCTGATTTGTTGTCAGACATGGTCAAGGTAGTTAGGTACGGTGAGATGAAACAAATGGAAGAAGATTGATAGTGAGATGAATGGTAAATTAAACTAAGGTGAAGAGTGGTATGTTTTATATGGTTTCTCATATGATGGGTTTGGATGGGTTTATGAACTTCTGTACAGTGAACAGGGACTTGTCCCAATTTGTGAAGAATTCAGAACAAGTGGAAAGGGGCAAATATCAAAAAATGCTATTATCAAATTGCAGAAATTGACTTTAAAAGTGATTGACCAGAAATTGCTTAAGTGAACATGCTCTTAGAGTTCTACCACAATATTTATGAGACTAAACATCAATTAGAAGAGTTATGAGGATTTATAAGGGGTTTTTGAAGGTTTTTGTCAAAAATTATTAGGTTTTTGGGCTGTTGACCATTTTTGAAGGATTGTAATGGATGTTATATACCACGAGAAAAGTGATTTTGGTTGCTATTCCCCTCTTTTCCTTCATCATCTACAACTTTATCATTTTTTATCATCATAAACTTATTTGAATAGTACCTGGTCACTCAAATAGGCTCTCTATTACAATTATAAAGATAAATTTACTTTAGGAGTGAAGTCTGTAAACTTATAAAGTCATCAGGTAATAATATAAAAAAGATAGTGAGCCTTTCTATTTTTGCCATATGACTGGAATAACACTAAAAGGTTGTGAATAATCAAAATCAGGTGTTTTTCACTTTTAAAAAATCAGGCTCTTTTGTCCTTTGAATCATTCTAAGATATTTTTTACTTGAACTTATCAGTACTCAATTCAATAGAAGCTCTTTCTGATTGTCTTGTTCTAAAAAAAAGTACATAGACACTTTCTGTCAAGTCATTATTTGTAGATTGTACCCTTCCAGCTCTGTAAATTGACCAGACATTCCTGGGAGGCAGGGATGCTACTGATGAATGACCTGTGTTTTTAAGGCCAAGGCACCTTGGAAGTGGCAATCCTGACCCTTTGGCAAGCAAAAACAGCTAAGACAGGCCAGCCCCAGGAGGTAAGGTGAGTAATCTCACATGTCAGAGAAGAGCAAAGAAGAGAATCACAATGTTACTAACATATCTTATTGCACCAAGGAAAGACCCCCAGAGATGGGGGATGAATCCAGTACCAGCACTGGAACACATGTTGGACAAGATACCAGAAAGGATCTTATGTGCTATTTGGTATTGGAGCAGGAAAGGATAGAGAACCATTATGGTACAGTCAAACCAGAAAAGCTTGTCACAAATTCCCCGCCAAATTGCTTGAGTTTTGCGGGAAAAATCGGTCAAGCTTTTCCAATTTGACTGTAGGAGTTGTTTATGAGTAAACTTTCTAAGACTACCACAAGGTTAAGGAACTGTAGGCATTTGTTGTACCATTTTCAACCCACATACAATGATGCTGTTTGGTCATCAATTTACACTGAACTACATACCAGTTCTATCATCTGCCTCTAAGTATGATACATTGGCAAAATCATAGTGATCTGGTCTTCAAGTTCTCACCTTTAAAGGATCTGTCTTTGTGCCATTGTTCTGTGAGATGGAGGTTGCAACAAGTAAAGATGTCATGAACCTTCATGGGTCAGGAAAACAAAAAAAAGAAGTTGGAAGTTGGAATTCTATTTTGAGCACAATCTTTACACTTTTATGTACAGATGAAATTCCAAAATGTGGGAGACTTTCCAGTTTATATTGTGACATCTATAGTGAAAACAAAATTGGCTATATAGTTTTCTCTAACATAAATCTCAGGTCAAATATGGGCAATCTTCACCGCTTCAGGAAATCACCCAGCAAGACAGTCCAGACGTTCCATTCATTCACAGGTTTGTATCCATGATCAACAAACCTAAAATTGTAGGCATATTGCTTTGAAAAAGGTGTAGCAGTTAGAAGAGTGAATACCAAAACCCAAAGCCATCCTCCCCCCACTTTACCAGGTATATGAGGAATGATGTATGGTTCTAGAAGGATCCCAATTGGTTGCACAAGAAAGTATGCAAATGCAGCTGGGAATTCTTTGAAGTAGACATGGGTGAAAGGATGTGGCTTGCGTGCCATGATATGTGCAACTGATGAAAATCATTCCAATCAAACAGGAAGAGTCAGTATATTGCTACAGCAGACTTTGTGAAAATGAACAGGTTTCTCACTAAATTCATGCAGCAGGCCACTGACAAAGAAGCAACCAAAAAGCCCGCAAATCCTCTGGATCTTGGATCCACCGCCAAGCTTTTTGGCCATAGCACTCGCAGGCAAGCCACCACACATCAAGAAGTTCCGCCTAAATAATTGATGCCATCCTTTTCCCCAGAACCAGCTCAGAGAGGTAGCCGTGTGTGGAGAGTTGTATGCGTGTTGAAAACGGTTCAGATCACACATGCTCAAGATCAATCTAGGTATCTGCACAAAACCTCCAAGCCGATGAACTGCGTGGCAAACCAAACCGTACTTGCAGAATACAGCGTCTAGGCCTCCTATCACGAGAAATCCGAATAACAGTGTTGATAAACTTTCGGCCAGTAATGATCGCAGCGGAAAGTCTGGTAAACCGATAGCAGCCAAAACTCGAGTCGGAGAGCCTGAGTCTCGAGCTGTGATTATAAATGCAAGTGAGACGGCTTGTAAGCAGTGGTCAATAATCATCCTTCGAATCAACGCAAGCACGGTTGGAACCCCGTGCTGAAGTCTCAATCCCCAACCATACTGATACCCTCGGTAGCTTATTATTGTACAAGGAATCGTGGCGGTCATTAAGGTTAGCAGATATGATCAATTTCTATAAATGAGACAGAGCGAACAATTTCAAAAACTCACGAAAAAAATTGCTGCGTGGTCCATGTAGCGATTTCAGTCCAACTGTTCACTGCCGTAGACGGGCGTGGTACTGATTCTATAGCCTGAGGCGTTGGCGAGGAGTCTGAAGTAGGTCGATTCCAATACTTTCCAGCCCAGTATCCATCGGTGATACCCCATTCAAGGGATTTCGAAGCAAGGTGAAATCCCCAAATGGCCAGTGCTAGATGCAACGTTCCATTCTCTGTCATAGGCGAAAAGCAGTAGTCGATAGGTATTGCGAGCAAAGTGCAGAAGTTCAACGGAGTGAGCGATAATCTGAGCCATCGTAAGGCTGAAGATCGACAAAAATGTGGATGTAAAAGGGAGCATTGGATCCAAAGTGGGATTAATCGAACTGCGATGCCATAAAAAGAGGGTGCTCGACATGTTACCACTTCTTCTGAGTGCCACAATGTCTTCAGAAACGAATCAAGTGACATTTTTTGAACGACACAGCGCGCCAGGTGGAGGTAAGCAATGGAGTCCGGTCGTCTGAGGTGGGCGAATGAGCTAGAGTTTCTCCGAGTTTACAAGTTCGCGGTGAAAGTGTTAGCAAAAACTAGATTATCTGGACGTTTGAAGATTGATGAAAGTAGGACCCGTAAGGACGATGAAAGGCCACTACCAGTGGTGCGACGCACGAACGGATGACCGATCACTTCTGACTCGCAGCCGTGGAAATCCCCCGTAAGAAACAGTGTTCAGGCATGAGATCTCTCGATAGCTCTCGATGTTTTGCAAAGTCCGGAGGAAGGCACCGAGGCCGCGACATAGCGCGTCATCCCCGCAAGCGACAACTTTTGATCGAACGAGCTGTGAGAACTCGCTGTTTCTCATAAGGTTTTGCACAACGCTATACACCGCCCAATGCGCTCAACATTGGTAAGGCGGGATGTGTTTCTGAGGAAATGCTTGATGAACTCCTAGTTTTGAATATAGCCTTGATGTGTTTTAATACAAAGCATTTGGAAAGCGAGTTGTGGGTTTGGGTTCCAGAATAACAGCTAGCGGTTGCAACTGTTGCAACTTGCTTATGGCATCCAAAACATCAGAACGATTGGGGAAACTATACACATGAGTATTCAATTCCCTACACCGTGTTTGCGTAAGTTTGGTCGCAAAACTCAAGCGGATCGGCCGGGGATTTCGATCAACCTTTTTTGAAACTGTTGATTTTGATCACCAAGCTTGCCCAATTTCCCCCACAAAACTTGAGCAAATCGGCGGGGAATGGTGGGAGAATCTGGCTCAAGAATTATGAAACCTGTGTGCAGTCGTTTTCAGAAAGATTGGAACCTTTCGCGCGCATGACCCGAGCAAATTGGCGTGGACTCGTTTCCAAGCTTTGTGAACTCGACTGTGCACTTTTTTTGTGATTCCTAATTGTGTGTTTTAATGTGGGTTCACTTTGTCTGTGAAGTCTTTGATAAAATTTGATAGCCAGAATCTCTTCTGATTATTCTGGTTATTCTTTTGCTATAGCCATTCTTTGGGGCATGGTTGGTGTGTCTATATCTCGGCAAAGCTCACTGGTAGTCGGAGTGAGAGATTTTACCTATCGTCTTTGATGATTGAGACTCATTCAAATTCTTATTCGGAGTGTTCCGTAAAATCCTTTTGTGATAAATGAGATCTGCAAAAAATACAACAAAAGACAGAAAATCTATACAAGAAATGTAAGTCTGACAGCTTGTGATCCATGCCAGAGTTAATACAAAAAGCAGAGTTGAATGATGCAAAAATCGAACGGTCTAATGGATGAACTGAAGTAATGATGAGCATGAAAACACCCAGTGCTGAAAAGTGTAGATACAGTGACATATCGAGTAATTCACATATTCACATGATGTGATTCTATCACAAGTTGAGTGCGGTAGATGTCATTGTGACAGAGAAGTAACTTGCGAATTGATTACCGGGGGGGGACAGGGAGGTTTTGTATAGTCCACCATCTCCAACAGAATAGGGACACAGTTATTGGTAGTATTCACAACGAGAGACAACCAAAAATTGTCGTGATACAAGTAAAAGAAGCGGAGGTGGCCAAAAATGGTACTGACGTGTTCGTTCTACAAGCCATGTTAGGCAACTGATCGGGAGGGATCTGAAAGAAATCTGTTCCGATAAGAACGTCTTTGTATGAAAACAAAAGAAGTGAAGAGTATGTAAAAGCGCGTCGGAGGCATCGAAAGTGCACACAAAGAGAACAAAGGAAAAGGACATAAATAGCAATAACAATAAGGAGATGTGTTTTTAGAATCGGAGGTCATAAGTCAATCCAGGAATGAGGAAAGTCCACATATTCCAATCTTCGAGTGGCTTAAATACATTATCTAGTAGTCTAAAGTCACGAATCCACTGTTTTCTAAAGGGTGTTGCAGTCAATAGCGTGAAAACCAATACCCATAGCCATCCTCCTCCCATCTTACGAGGTATCAATGGGATGATGTAAGGCTCTAGAAGTATGCCAACAGGTTGGATCAAGAAATATGCGAAAGATGCTGGGAATTCCTGGAAGTAAACATGTGGGGATGGGTGTGATTTAGGAGCAAAGTGATGTACCACTAAACGGAATTTGGAAGAGGACGTTTCAGAATGCGAAATGAAGCCTAATATTATAAAAGCACTCACCATACTCGTGCAACACGGCACTAACAAAAAAACTCCCAAACAGTCCACAAATCTTTTGAGCCGTCAACCCACCTCCCAGCTTTCTGGCTATTGTACTTGCAGGGTACCCACCACACATTAAAAAATCTCTTCTGAACATTTGGTGCCAACCTTTTCCCCAAAACCAACTAAGAGAAGTCGCGGAATGAGGTGAGTCGAAGGCAGGATGAGCTAGGGTTGGATCAGTAGATCTCAATATCCATTCTGGAATCCAAACACGTTTTCCCAACCAATGAACCAGATGACATTGTACATTCATTTGAGAGATAGATAAATCGGTTCCCGAGATTAAGAGAAAACCAAAAGCTAGGGTTGTCAGTGATTCTGCCAGAAAGTCGTTTATTCCGAATTTGGGGATTCCGATGGCCTCCAGAGCCCGGGCGGGCGATTTTTGATCGCGAACCAAGAGGAGGAAAGCAAGTGAAGACGTGTTGAGCAGATTCATAAGAAATATTCTTCGAATCACCGCAGGCAGGCGTGGACTTTCAACCCTGATCTGTTGGCCCCAGCCATACTGAAGGCCCCGAAGACTGATTATGATGAACGATTGACCCAGAAACAAGGTAGGTAATTAGACAGAACTCGTGATCTTCAACCCAAGAAGCATATTTATACATACCAGAAAAATTGCTCGGTGGTCCATCCAGCAATCTCGCTCCAATCAGTCTTCATGGGTGCTGCATTCTGAATTTGCGTCGTTGAAGTAGAAGAAGACTTTGAGACAGATCTGGTCCAATACTTCCCTTCCCAGTATCCGCCAGTCATGCCCCACTCGATTGATTTTGCAGCCAAATGAAAGCTCCATACTGCGAAAGCCATGTTAATGTACCCACGTTTCATGACCGGCAGGAAACAATAATCCACCGGAGTTGTGATAGCGATGAGAAAGTTCAACGGCGCAAGGCACAATCTGATTGAACGCATCATTGAAGATTGGGCGAATCGAGAATGTAAAAGAGAGCATTGAATCCAAAGAGGCAGAAAACGGACGATGAATGTATAAGAAGGTTGCCGACATGATGGTGTTGCTTCTGTCGACCAGAAGGCTCCAACTAAGGCTGTCAATGACATTTCGATGAGAGAGACAAAACAACTGGAGTCGATAGATATGGGGGGAGTATCAAGTTCTATCAATTGCGCTCCTTTGGGGATCTGATGAGGTTTGATGTATGTTTTGTGAGAGGCATGCTTCAGTTCAAGACATTTCAAGACCTTATAACTTCGATCGGAACCAAACAGGTGGAGAACAAAAGCATACACCATGATCCGTTCATTTCACACAAACCCGCACAAACCTCTCTTCCTCCTTTGATCAAATTGCAAGTTTCTTCACTGACTGGACAGTAGACCAGGGTACACCTCACTCACCATCATGTGCACCTACAAATGAAGTCTGATCCTCACCACTCCCATTCGGAGAAACAAGTCGCTTGTATACATACAGCAGCCCATAACCCCTCTAATCCCATAAGCATCTCTTGTGTTCAAGATGAATACTGTACCACCACTTTGAAACATTTTGATTTCAACTTGTTCTTTGTTCAGCGGATATCCGTGATTATATGGCATGTAAGAGCAGAGACCAATTGGAGGATCAAGGAAATACGAGCCGCCCGTGATCAAGAGCGCGCATCGATAGTCTAGCGGAATGTTTGAATTTCGATTTGCATTCACAAATTTCGGTATCCATGAATCAGTCCGCTTGCCGCAATGTTGGAAAGACTTACGAGCTGGTCTAATCTGCCACTGGCAGAGCTATCAGTGTATCTGTGTCTCAATAAACAAGTCTAAAGTGTGAGTAAATACTCATGTTGTAGAAAATTCCTTAAATCAAAAAAGCAATTTCCATTACAAAGAAGCGTGCCGAACGCGCACGCGTGGGAAGGCGCGCCGTCAGGCGCCCTCGACATCAACATGACAACGGGATTTGAAGGTTGATCGAGTCTTTCGCTCCTACTGATTGTATTTGTTACTCCTAAGTTGATCAAGGGAAGACTGATGGTTTGACTTGGTTTGACTATCCAAGTCATGAGACAGATCTACTTGTAGTGTACCATTCGTTTTGCTATTTTAAACCAGGGTTGAATCAAATGGTAAGTAGGTGGGAGTAGCTGTAGAACAGTGAGTTAAGTTTGGTGACAATGAAGCCACCCTTATTAAGCTTGAGATGATGAGCTTGGTAGTGAGTTGATGATTGAAGCAAGTGAGATGAAGAAGTGGGTGAGTTGAGTTGTAGTGTGTGTATCTAAAAAGGCCCCATTGTTGTTGTTGTTTTTGTTGTCGTCGTTGTTGAGAAGTGAAGACCTCATCAAGCATCAAGCATTCATTAAAAGCATTTTAGGTTGTAGTACATACTCAGTTTCAATACTTTCTTCCCTTCTTTTGTATCATCAACACCATTCTCATCATCATGAAAACTGACAACAGCAATCCTTCGAATTTAACACCACGAAGTCGAATACCAACTAAAAGGAAAGCACATCATTTACTAAATCACCTCAAATCTCATCATCAACTTCAAGATCCTTCGATTGACATCAAACCATTCGATACTGAACTCCACATTGCTCGTCCTGGTACTCCAACTATCATCTTAGATCACGTTTCTCAACCTCTGAGTGACAGCGAAGACCCTTTAATACTCAAAGATTCTCCTACAAAACAAGCTAATCGTCATCTACGTCGTCAATCGCGTGCACATTCTAATTTTGAAACGTTTCATCATCATCTTCCTTTAATCAAGACTCTCGAATCAAATCAAAATCAATATTCACTTCCATCTGCTAGTATATCAACTGCTACTTTTGCTTCTCCTGGGCCAGATCAACTCAATACTCCTACTCGTTTCTCATCTGAGAACAGAAGTCGTCCAGAAAGTCACGTCAAAGACAATACGGTCTCAAAATCACCTCTTCCTCGTTCATCAGATTCAAGAGATCACGCATCTATCTCTGCGACACTCAACCGGCATAACTCACCTCATCTTTCAGGAAAAGACTCACAGCACATGACCCGAATCACTGTCAGTTCTCGTCAAGAAAGAAACTCTAGCGAAGGCTCTCTGGCGCGAAACTCTTGTGATTCATCAACTGCTACGCGTCTGCCTTCTGCCGTTCCAATCCTTGAACCACCCTCACATATTCAGCTTGATGATCAAAGCTCAGATGGAGAGTCAGACACCCCAGCCGCATGGCCAACGAACCTACAAGATGACCAACAGAATCAAGCTCAACTCTCTTCACCTCCCCCCACACCATCCTCAAGAGGTCCTAGTAGATCATCGTCTGCACACGAAACCATAATCTCTCAGCCTCGAGGTTCTTCTTCAAGTCAATTCCTCGAGATTGTGCATGAGAATATCGTCGTCAGTTCGTCATCTGCAAGTTCAGTAGCCTCCAGTGATACTTGTCGGCCTACTTCTAGAAGAAAGGCTACTCAATCTGTGTCCTCTGCTTCTATCCGCTCATCGCTGACGCCTCTCAACAACATTCCGCCCAAGCGCTCTCCACGAATCGATTCGGCTTCAAGCAGGGAGGTTCTGACGAGTGATTCTACGAATCAGCAGGCGGGTCAACTTTTAGATCGATACTCTAATCAAAAAACTTCACTTCCCCTACGCAGCCCTACTATTAAGAATCAGTCAGTCCCATCCAACCGGATCATGCAACTGAACCACGGTTCGACAAGTCCTTCCTCTCCGAACACCAGTTTCCAAGCTCTGAGGCACAAGAAAAGGCTTGGAACACCTCCTAAACCAAGAGAATGGGATAAACACAACGCGTTTCAAGAATTCGAAATTGAAAACTCTGATGTTGAAGTCACGATCACTTGCGCGGATGATGATCATGATGGAATTCGACAACGGAAGCGTTCCAGATCTAGGCTCACTATGGGACATGTCGAAATGGTTTTACAGAATTGGCCACCAGAGGAAAATGTTGTTCTTCAATCTACCCCAAAAGGTCTGCTCAAGATTCATCGTCACTCAGATCTTCCTTTCACACCGATTTTGCCCAGACCTTCTATGAGAGCTTCTCAGTTATTGGAAGAGGAAGACTCGTTAGAAGACGAAAACTCGGGATTGGCCAAGATGCCGGTTCAAGAAGATCAACACGTTCATCATACCGAAACTCACGATGAAGAAGTCATTAGCCCGAGTGAGGATGATCGGGGTGAAACAGACGATCATGATCTTGAGCAGGAAGACGAAGCGTCGCCTGACAATAGGAATAATCCATCATCACATTGTGGATTATCGGGTCAAGAAGATGACATTGTTCCCCCAAATGATGATCAAAGGCATCATAGTTCCATGTCGATGCATGATGCATGTGGCCAATCACGCGATTCACCAGCACACTATGAGAAACAGACTCATCAAGAACTCGCAGATGAAGAGATGGCAGATTCCTCCCAAGACGACAATGAGGACGAGCCCGCGAAATCTTGCACGGACTCATCATCAAATAATTCTGATGGTCAGACTTCATCGGACCGTGTAACACGCACTGAGGCGATGGGCGATGTGTCTGCCTTGTATGAATCGGATTCAGAGAGGAGCAGACAACGAGAAATTGGACAAGCAGAGCTTTCTGAAAGCAGCATTAGGAGTAATTCTCGATCAGACCCTGATCAAATGTCAGATTCTAATCAAGCTAACCCATCAAATCCAGATCTTCTGTCACATTCTAATCAAGAGACTACACCAGACTCCGATCAGGTGACAACACCGCAACAAGATACATTAGATTTGGATCCAGCCGCTGGACAAGACGCCGATTCCTCTGCCCCGAAGATTATATCAAGAGAAGCTGAAGTACAGGATATCATCAACGCGCGCGACACTACTCCGGTACACGGTCCATCATCGTCCTCATCATCTGCTGATCGTGTCTCATCAAGTGAATCTCAAAACCCGCCTAAGCAATTTGACATCTCCAAGCGAAGCGTCCATCTTCCTACCTCTCAAAAAGATTCAGCAGATGGTTCTGTCATGATTACGCCACCTATGGAATTTCAATCTGTCCGTTTGGGCGCTCCAGCTACGTCATCGCGTGGTTCAGATGGGATTCATCCTCCGAGCCAACCTATCTTTGACACTAGATCACAATCCTCCTCTTGTGGTCGTTTGTCCAGTGACCGTACTTCATCTCACGCTTGTTTAAAAAATGATCAATATCAGAAGAAAGAACAGTTTCAGTCAATTGCTCAACAACTCGAAAACAAAAGACAACCCTTATTGACAACAAGTCAGTTCCTTATTTTTCTTCAGTATAGTTGGATTTTATACTTAGAGAACTAATTATGTTTCCCTGCCTTTCAGATTCTTCTAAGTCTTCGCTTAGAGATGTATCTCCTGAACCAGTAGACCTCATCAAGACTCCTCACGATCGCGTTTCTGGTAATAACTCTGCCGTCGAGAATATTGGCATTGATGATAGATGTGCGTGATTTGCTGCATATTCTGAGTTTGGTGTGAATCAGATAAGAAATAAAAATATCAATATTGATTATTTATCATCTTGAACAGTAGACGATATGATTGATCCTCCAGCAGTCAGAATTAATTCTACTCGTAGATCTCTGCTTACTTCCACGCCCCATGGAACCCGACTTCAAAGACCTTCACCATTTCTTTCACCAATTCCAAGTAATCCATCTCGAGTACTACAAATCTCATCATCTGATCCTAAAACTGCAGCTCAAGCTGCTGCTATCTTGAAAGTTTATCATGGTTTTATACCACGTGGATTTAAGATTGAAGATAATGAAGCTATCAATCATGATCAATTAGAACATCAGATGGAAGAATCTATTTTAAAAGAAGAAGCTAGGGCTGAAAGGTCTTTGTTTTATCAGCAACACGATCGGAACAAAACTTTGAGTGTGGTTGATGAAGATAAAGATGATGAGGATGAGGATGAGGAAGATGATGAAGATCTTGAATCTAATGAAGATAGGATTGATGAAATGGTTTCTAATATGCTTTCACCAAGACCTAATAAAACTTTAAACCGAATCGATACAGAAGAAGGAGAAAGAAGAAAGGAAAAAAGTTCTAGTGTATTTTCTCAACAACACGTTCCTCAAAGTTCATCTTCTAAACCGATTCCAAGGATCAAAAGTTTATCTTCAAATACCACTACCACCAATTATTCTTCACCAATGAAAACTTTAAATTATAAAGCTGATTTTAATTATTGGACTAAAACTGATTGGCAAATCTTAGAATCATGTTTGAGGAAAGCTCAACGTGCTTCTAATTCTAGTAATCCTGTTCATCCTACTACTGTGGTTTTGAAATTATTAAAAGTTTTGAAATTGGATCGAAATCAATGTCAAAAAGAATGGGAATGGTGAGTAGTCTTTCTCTTTTTGGTTTAGGTTTTCTTTTTGTGTGAGAGGTCTTACTGATTTTTTTTTGGGTGGGGGGGGCGATTTTGTAGGTCTTGTTTAGTTAGAAGAGTTAAAGCTTTACAAAAAAAGTCGGAATTGAATGATCATCAATATCAACAACAACGTGAGATTAGTTTAGGAATCGGATCTAGTAATGGGATTGAACTCAAGGGAAAAAGATCATTGTTCCATGAACTTAATGATTTATCTAAATCTTAAATTTTTTTGAAGTCTTTATTATTGGGTTGTTATTTTTTTCAATTTTTTAATTTTGGTGGGGAGGGGACGATTGGGACTTTTGAAGAAGAGAATCAAATTGCTGGAATCAAATTGTTGGTCTTTCTTTTTCGTTTCATTTTTGATGGGTTTTGTTTTTTTGTAATTTCTTGGGATTAAATAATTTGATGTTTAGGTTTTTCTTTTAATTAGTTGATATCTTTAGAATTTTGGTTTCCTTCACTTTTGTTTTGTTAATTTCTAAATGTAATAAATTGTATGATTACATAAATGAAATAATGAATAGGAAACGAAATGGAAAGTTTGATTAGATTTTGTAATTTCATTGGGGGTTTGGTTTGGTACATGAGAAAAAATATGAGGTAGAGAATGGATTGGGTGAGGATTGGTCTATAATGGTTTGCTGTACTTTCAGACCATCCAACACACAAACCTCGATGTAGATATCTACATTGAGTGGTGCTTTTTGGTTTTTGTTTAGCTCATCAATGAAAAGATGCTTTCAACGCCTAAAGCCTGTGCAAAAAGTTTGTTCACTTGGATTTCAAAGGTCTTGAGCTGGAAAGTTTGTGGAGTTGTTGGAAGAGCAAGCCAGAAGCTGATTGGATGGTTGAATGTGTTGTCAAATATATCAGTAAATTTACAAACATTAATAAATAAACTTGCTTTTTGTTGAAACACAAAAGACTCCAACACCATTGAAGTAGCGTAACACTTGCTCACAAAGGCTTAGGGCATCAGCCTTCTTGTAGTTCCAAGCTTTTGCTAATGATATGATCATCTTGATCATATCATCAATTGTAAATGCCTGTGGAACAGTGACTGGACAAACCATTGGGTTCAAGAAGAATTGGATGATATAGATTGGTTCATTGGATGGCTTGGAAGGCTCATGTAAGACTTGCAAGCAGTGCACTTTGAAGGGTTTTAATTGTGCATAGAGGGATAGATCTATTGCTAGGAGTTGCTGATAAACAGTGCTGATCTTCTTCCAAATATCTCCAACCAATGTGTTTCCTTTTTCTAATTGCCTGATAGCATCTACAATGGGTCTACCAAATTTTACCAGGACTGAGTTTGAGGTAAGATTATCGCAATGATGATATTTTTGTTGATGTTTGTAGTCAAAACCTGATTGTCTCTCATTGCAAGGCAACTTTGAAACCCCTTGTCATGACTTTTGACAGATATTGTAACCTTTGCCATCAAATACCATCTAGATTCACAGAGTGTGCAAAGGCCATGAGTAACACATTCTTTGTTTTCCCTTTAACAAATTTTGACTCCAGAAGCTTGAGGAGATGAAGAGATTAACTATTGCTTGATCAAGTTCAATAATTCAGTTCATCTCCACATGACCAACAACCCTCTTTGCAATCAGATTGAATACATGCAAGCAATATACCAATGGGATAACATGATTGGAATTGGTGTTCACCATTTTCTTGTGATACTTAAAAAGCTAAACATTGTCTGGTGAAAATCATAATGAGGAGAAGGTGTGGTACAAATACAAGTTTGATTCAGACTTACCCATAACTTGATCATTGAGCTAGAAGATTCAGTGACAATGGTACAGATTTGTTCCCAGGTTGAAGCTTGCCCATGGCGGGGATCCTTCAAGGCTGCCAATATGGTTACAGAGGTGTGTCGAACATCATCAAGATCCAATACATGAATTAATTGTTAAATCTGTGTACCACAGAGAAGGAGGAGAGCATAGACACTTTTCTGCAAACAGTCAGTCCATCAAGCAAGCAAGATGGCAAGATTGGTGGGTTCTTTGAGTTCAGCCTTGGTTTTGACCAAATATGAAGTGTGAAGTCAGAGAAGAACTGTATCCATCATCATGAAACAGGAGGCAGGAGTGTACAATGTGATCAAAATACTGCATTGAAAGGCTCAGAAGGATGGTTTATGAAGGAACCAAAGATGGCCAGTAATAAGAGCTTTGAGCAGATGTTCATAAGTTTCCATGACTTTGTCTGGTTTCCAATGCTTGAAGAAAGAACTGAAGTTGGGCTGCTACTTGGGTTGCTTGATCATTGGGCTCTCTGGATTGTTGGTCTGTCTTGTGTTGGTGGTGTTTGCTGTTGCAGGTATGGCTTCACTGGTTTGGATCAGCTCAAGTTCCTCATCTGCTGATTTGTAAGTTTGTAAGATGTGGAGACAAACTTGCAGTGTTGAGTCATATGATGATATATTCTGGCTGGCTTTCCATCCATCACTAAGTTGCAGTCCATGGACTTAGAAAGACATTGGCTGTTGTTACGTTGGTCTAAAGATTTGAAGTCAAGTCATCTGGTATAGCTTTTACTAGGTGGTTGTATCCAAAACAAATATTCAGGTACTTTGATGGGCATTTTGGAATGTAGAACTTCAACTATTATGTGGAAGATGAGCAGGATATGAGGTTTTTGTTGCTAAGTCACACTCCAGATCATCCGTAATATTTATCTAGAGCACACTAGAGTCCCCTGGGCAGCCCGCCGCCCTCCCGTGCTCTGTGTAAAGATGCACTGCTCAATTACAACGTTACTTTGTCACTGCGGACAAAGGACCATCACAGTCCCCATGCAACCTTTGACACATCCTCCAATGCTCTTCTGCCTCCCTTAGCAATGCATCACCCCTTTGCCCTCATATTTCTCCACCGTCATCCGCTATTAAGCATGCCTTAAAATAAACCAAATGCTACCATGCTACTCCGATAACAACTTTTTGGCCCTGACTGGCTGGTAGTGATGATATTAACTAACCTGCATTGCAGGGTTAGTCTTGCCTCACAGTCAGTGAAGGCGCCTGACCTAGTCAAGTTGATAGCAAAGGGCTCGGTTGCTCTACTTAATTGGACTGTCAGCCCTGATTTAAATTGCATCACTTTCCGCAAATGCAATAACAGGTCAACATCGTGCAAATTGTGCCCCGCCAATGGCTGTGAGGACCTATGATGGCAATGATGGAGAATGACAACTCTTCGCAAAAGAAGTTGTGTCGTGGAGACCCAGGCAGAGACTGTCAATGGGTTTTGGCAATGGTCTGAGCCTTCTCTCATTCACTGCCCAGACTGGCCCGTTCTATTTAAGGGTCAGAGTCATGCTGATGTAGCTATGACCATGATCAGAGATACAGGGTGTACCACACCAACAGGTATGAGGCCCTATGACGGCAATGGTGCAGAATGACAACTCTCCGCAAAAGAAGGTGTGAGGCGGAGACCCAGGCGCAGAAAGTCAACGGGTTTTGACGATGGGCTGAGCCCTCTCTCATTTACTGCCCAGACGGGTTTGTTATATGAAGGGTCGGGGTCATGCTGATATAGCTATGACCGTGATTAGAAACAACAGGGTGTAGCTTTTGTTGACTGCATTGGTTAAGTTTCCGTTAACATGCCCGTAAGTGGTCGTTCTATCAAAGTATCGCGGTCAAACTGATGTAGCTATGACCGTGATTAACAACAACAGGGTTTAGGTTTTGGTGACAACAGAATTGAATTTTCGGCGGCGGCTTTTTTTCGTTTCGAGCAAATTTTCTTTTATTTGTTTGATTGAAAAGCTTTTGTCATGTCTCTAGTAACACAGAAGTACCCCTCACTTATTCTGTTACAAAACCAAACAGCTTACATCAATATGAAAGCTCTGTAGTGGATTTTTTACCAGCTTTTCTAGCAGCTCCTGATAGCTCCCAAAATGGCCATTGGCGCTCCTGGGAGTGCCAAAGGTGCCCCATTCACCACATGATGAGTGCAAAATAGTCATTGTATAGTTGCTGAGCATGTTGAGCAGGGTCTCAATCTATCTGGATGTGAGTCTGAGGAGGAGTAGTTGATGTGTGAGGTTTATCAAACAAGAATTCAAACACCGGTTGATTGTAGTCCTTTTTTTCCTCCTTGGCATTTGAAGACTTCAACAGGACATCGACTTGTCTTCTCTACAAAGTGGGCATTGTGATGATGAGATGATTAGTTTTTCAATGAGTTATATGAAATATGTATGATATTTCATGTCGATGTTTTGTCACTGTGGAATTGGCTGAATTACAATGCCTTATTGTTGGTAAATCAGACGGTAAAGCAGCTCATAGTGGATTTCATGTGTTTACCAATTTACTTGTTACACACATGATTAAATGTTGTGGTCAGGAACACAAAACTTACATAGTGGACTCCCTTAGAGAGATGATTAAGCCCAATGAAGGATTGATAAAATTAAAATGGCTTGATGATCAGATTTTGTGACACCAGCCTTGTAAACAAAGGGTAAGTAAGGAAGACCTTCAAAATGCACCAGTTGTTTTGTAAGTTTTATGGCAAATTCGAGATTGAATTTTGAATCTCATGATCATCAGGTTCAATTATCCCCAGCTTCTCATTGTTGTCAAAAATTGATAAATGTCAAATTCCATCAAAATAGCTTTTAGATTGAAATTAATCAAACTTGAGTTAAATATCAATGACAAACCATATGGAAGGAGCTGAAAATTCATGCTTGGTTTTGAATTGAGGGTCTTGATCATTCTAGATGTGGATCAAGTGTTCCTTGATTCGTGTTTACCAAGTGTAAGACTACCCAAGTGGTCAAAGTGGTTAGCAATAAAACCAAAAAGATCTGATTCTGAATTTGAATTTGGGATCTTAATCATGTACTCCTCCTTCTACTTTTTTTCGGATTGATCCCTAAAACATCCTTTCCACAATTTTTGAAAGTTTTTTCATTGTTCCATCCTTGGTCACAAAACAATTGTTTTTAGTGGAAAATGTGCTGCTGAACCAACATTGGGTTGTTGCTTTGTGTTACAAGCAATACTTATTGCGCTCAATAGAAGGGGTGTCTTCTTCACCCACTTGGCTGCACCTCAACTGGCAAAGGCTCTACGTTTGTGTTTCTCACCATTGCGTGTTGTGTTGTACATTTATCAAAGCTCAAAGGGACATCATGTAAGTTGACATGATCAGGCAGACCCCACTGCCAAGTTGTGTTGCTGGCATCACTAGAAAACTCTACCCTCAGGGGGCAAAACATCAGGCAATGATCTAATTCAATGTGTTGCCCGCAGTGCTCCTGTTTACCTGTTGCATTGCGCTGCTTGGAATTGCACACTTATAGCAATTCACCAGCCCAAAGTTGGCTGAAATCATACTTAACTGTGTTACAGTGAACTCATTAACATCAAATACTATGGTCAAATTAACTTAGATGTCTGATAGTAACTTGTCTGATAGATGCTGAACCTTGAGGGGGTAAAATTTTCTCTTCTATTTACTATCATCTTCAGGCTTATAGTTGAATGATGTAGTCTTTCATTGGTGTGAATGAGATCTATTGAATTTTTGGATGACCATTCAAAATATTGGATTGTGATTGATTTTGAAGCATTTGAAAAGGGTTAATCATGTTGATCCTCTGAGGTACATGGTGTATTTCAGCCATGGAATACAGAGAATGCCAATTGTTCTAATATGTCTCAATCAACTGAAATATAGTTTTCTGAAGTTCAATATCAATATTGATTGTCAAATATTGAAATTTTTTTGTTTATGAGCTTAGAAAGGAGTTATTGAGGTTATAAATATAATCTAGATGTTCCTGATTGGATGATTGATTTGAGAACGGGTACCAATGATATGCAGAAAGACAAAGGTCAAATGGAAGTTCCTGCAAACAACATCTAGACTTCAATCAAAGCTGAAAACAAACATACCACTTGTCCAACACTGAGAAACTATTGTCTGAAAGCTTGCAACATTGAACTTGAATTGAGTTGTATCAATGATGCTGATCTGATGTTGATTGGATAAACTTACCAACTTTGGACAATCCTGTAATTAGGGTTTGGGCAAAGTAGAATTTGGTGAAACTCATGATTTTAGGCGCAACTCCAACAAAGGGCCTGGCAGATCCACCACAGTCCCAGACTACATATACATGCATATTTTCTTTTTTTTCAACAGAGAAGGATTTCAAATGGAGTTGACCTGAAAATATGTCAGATTACAGAAAATCACACATCTTTAGGAAAAGTTAGTGGAACACATGGCAAAGAAATTAAGATTCAATCAAAAGCACAAAATGGTGGAGTTGCATGTCATGTGATCCATTTTGATTGAGTTGAAAATCCTTCCTTTTGATCAATTAGGCAGTAGCATTAGGCAGTAGCTGTCGGAGTCCCGTGTTAATTTTGAAAATATGTGAAAATACTCCAAACTGCGATTTTACAAAGACTCAGTTTGCCCAAACCCTATTGGGAGATAAATTGAACATATTCTAACTTGAAGTGAGGTTTGTGAACAATTTGCCCGGGATGCTGTGGGTTATTGTTTCCAAAAGGGATTGGGTGATGATAGACAACCTGCTAGGTTACAGTAGATGACTGCATTTGCAAATGATGGTGAATGCAAATCAATTCACAGTGCAGGTTTGTGAATTGAGTCCTCAAGTTAACTCAAAAATTGTGGAGTTTGTCAGGTTCTGCAAGGGAACCTGGTTTGCCTTTAAATGATGAGAATGATACGAAACTTCGCGTCGAGATTGCGCCATATTAATTTCTATTTTCCTCTGTTTCAGAAAACCATGCTGTTCGAGTCATTTGTAAAAACCTTTAGATTTCCTGAAGAAATTGTTGTTTGTCGATTTCCTTCCTACGGTCTGATAGTTCGCTTACTTCCTCTTTGGCTTCAATGCTCACTTCTTCATTTTAAATTCTCAAAGTTTCCTCGCTTACGGTCGGTCAGATTCTTAATCATCTCAACCAATATAATCCTCGCACTTTCAATTCCGATTGATTATTGTTTCCTACCGCGTACAAAGAGTGGATTGCTCAACTTGTACTTGAGTGTTTGGAGTTTTCACTATGCTATTAAAGCTCTTGAGTGGGGTCTCGCAGGTGGTCACTTGGTTGGAAAATATTGGCCACGGCCGCTTTCAGAATATTCCTTACTCAAGTTGGACGTTCCTTTCGGCGTCGTAGAAGCGAAAGACGTTGATACTAATAACTGGATAGAAGTGATTGAATGGACCACTGTGCAATTCTTTTCGTACGCTTTCTCAAACAGTGTTACATTGCTTTTTAAGACTCTGATGTTTCTGCCTGTGATCTGTTGGTATTTCCAATCTTGTCACTTCACAGCCCTCGTGGACTTCAATATGGATGGGGACAGCAAATTCAACCGAAAGCCTCAAGTACACTTCGGATGTTGCGAAGGTTGTTTGAGGTCAACCTAGTCATGGCTCTCTCGCTTGCTTTCCTGCTCTTAATCCGCGAGAAAGGCTCTCCTAGCAATGCATTGACCGCAATCGGTGTACCGGAGTTCAATACAAGAATGATCATCGCTGAAGGCCTTGGAACTCTCTCCTTTGGTGTTTTCTTGATCTCAGCCATCGACACAATGTTCACTCAACTTCACTTATTCTGTTTTCTGATTCATTGGCTTTCGAGTTTTGTACCCACACCTTCAATGATCTTACAGATCTTCAATCCTACCTTATCACATCCTGTCTTCGACTCACCTCATACTGCAACCTCTCTCGAATGGTTTTGGGGAAAGGGATGGCATCAGCTATTTAGAAGAGATTTTTTGATTTGTGGTGCGTTACCTGCGAGTGGACTGGCTAGTAAGTTGGGTGGTGGATTGAAAGTGCAAAAGATATGCGGACTATTTGGTGCATTTTTTGTTAGTGGAGTGATGCATGAGTATAGTAAGTTAAGTTTATGATTTAGATCAGTTCTCTCCAAAGGCGTAGTCTTAGATCCTGATCATTGTCAATGTCAACTTCGACTCTTTTGCGTACAACAGTCATCCACGGTATTGCTCATGCACCACACCCAGTTCCTCATGTCTATTTTAAGGAGTTCCCATCCGCATTCTTTTTTTTCCTTATCCAACCAATTGGGATCATTTTAGAACCTTTTATAATTCCTCATATTCCACGTAAGATTGGAGGAGGATGGACCTGGGTGCTTCTTTTCATTCTCTTGACTGCAACTCCCTTCCGAAGACAATATGCAGACTTCAGATTGATTGATGATGGTTTCAAGCCACTCAGCGTTTGGAAGTGGTGGACTCCCTTGATCCCTGGGCTGCTATACAACTTCTGAGGGAGATGACGAGTAATTCTCTGATGATTGTTCTTGCATATCAAGTTATATCGTTGTAATTGTATTTCAAATACAACGCTTTTGGACCGTAATGTCCACATCTCGCAACCTTATTTCGAGCATGGAGCATACAGTCAACTCCCTCCAAACCCATACCATTCTATGGAAGCCTAAAACTATGGGTTTTATGGGTGTATGGTTTTGGAGGATCTCCCTCATAGCCCATAGATGAAGGTTTGGCAGGCAAAGTATGGGTGAAGAGGGAGATAAAAAAATTAACAGGCCAATCAAAAAAATCATTTCTTCATATTCAACTTGGAATAGATTGCAGCAAAGTGGCACACAGTCTTAGATGATTGCAACCATTCCGTTTGTACTTGAATTTCCCAACCAAAAGTTCAAGTCTCTTCAGCTCATCATTGTTGAGTTGACTGGCAGCCTTAGCCGCATTTTATTATGCTATGATCTTCCCCAAAACAACTCTTTACCTTTCCAGCACAGTCTATGAGCCTTGTATCTGTCTACAACAATTTCTTCCCTCCACTGATAGGTTGCTTGAGAGGCTTGAATCTTTTGTTATTCTCTGTTTGTAGGGCATTGAAACCTGTTTTGATATCTGACATGCTGAATTGCAAAAGGTCTTTTGGAAGCATTTTGAGACTGGCTATGCTGAAAAATACACAAGGATGCAGGTTTTTTTCAAGCTGTGGCAAATTTTGGTTATGGCTTTTGACCTAGGTTTACTGCAAAAAACCTATGGGTCATGGGAATAGTGCGAGGTATGGGTTTTGGGCCACTTTTCCCTGCCCATAAATTTTATGGACCCAAATTTCTATGGGTTAGCTGGAAGTATGGGATTAGAGGGATATGGATTTCGAGGGAGTCGACTGTAATTTGCCCCCATGATCAGGGCGCTCCAAGAGACACAACAAGCCTAAACAAACCCCAAGTGTTTATTGAAACATATTTGAGCTCAGAATCGATCCGTGCAAACAACATCGATGTCCGTGATCCACCGGTTTTACTTCCTGGGAGTCTGGACCCCATTGTTGATTTTGGTGTTCTTTGCCATCTTATCTTCCATTGAGCGCTGTGTGCCTGGTCTACAATTTGACTGTCTTCTCATTTATGTACTGGATAAGAACCCACGACGGGGCTTGATGCCCCACCTCCTTTACATACTTTTGGGTTACCATATCTCGGCACAGTTTGCTTTGCTACCCTCTCTCACAACTTACGTAATACAGATAGTGAAGATAAGGTCGATCGTACTTTGCTAAATGATTGCTGATACTGCATACTTTTAGTTTCTGTAAGGCTGATTCATGATGGGTTATATGCTCAAAGCAGTCTTACGCACCGACGTTCAATCATGAGACGTTGATCGGGGTGACTGGGCGGTATAGAGGATGATGCAGATGAGGGATGATGCCCTTTAGATGGTGGAGATATGTACCTACGAACCTGAACTGACACGCCAAGTGAAAATAACTTGATAAGATTGATTAAGATTAAAGAGAAGGCCAATGCGCGCTTCAAATGAGAATATGTATGTACATACAAGTAGTGGTTTCGAGGTTGTGGAGAAGTGGTGTGTGTTTCAGTTTGTTCTTAATATTTAATTTCCATCAATCTTCACAAACATATACAATCACTTCAACCGCTACCTTCATCAGATTCGACGGTCATGAACATTCTCCAACAATCTTCACATTCATCAACTTTCTATCGTCGATCAAAACGATGGTCAATTGATCATCTCAAGTTCATCGGCCCTGGCATCGTTGCTTCGTAAGTTCTCATGTCAATCTAAAAAACCTTTGGAACTTATCAATGACTAGATATTGAATCATTCAGTGTTGCTTATCTAGATCCGGGCAATTGGGCTACAGACATTGAAGCCGGTTCAACTTATGGATATCCTCATCTCTTCGTCGTCCTGGCAGCTTCTCTCATGGCTATCCTATTGCAAATACTTTCGACTCGACTAGGCTATGTCACTGGTAAAGGTAAACAGATGCACCAGCAGTCGTTCTTTTTTTATCACTTGTTGACTTTTTGTCCTGCAACCAGATCTAGCTCAACACTGTCGACTTGCTTTATACGATCGGCCAACTCATAAAAAATTATGGAGATGGTGTGCTCTCTATCCGCTTTATGCGATTTGTGAAGCCGGTATCATGTCGGTTTAGAAACTCAACGCTCCCTAATCGGACACATTGCTCACTATCAATCTCTTACTATCAGATTCACCGATCTCGCCGAACTCATTGGTTCTGCAATGGCATTGAAGATGTAAATGTTTCGGTCCTCGTTTTTCATCCACCTCAAATTCATCATGTATTCCACTAACCAGATTATCGTATACACAGGCTGTTTCCGGGCTTACCACTTTACGGTGGTGTTTTGCTCACCTCCTTGGATGTCTTCGTAGTCTTGGCTTTCTTTAACACATATCCATCAGCTTCAAATAAGACTTCTACTCTTATATTCGAACTTCTCATCACAATCCTCGTTTTCGCTGTCTTGATTTCGTTTGTCATCTTACTCGTCAAGGTTTCGCCTCGTTGGCCAGACGTTTTTGAAGGCTTCATTCCCAGCGCCGGAATGATCAAGAATGGAGCACTCTATCAAGCAATTGGAATCATTGGTTGAGTGCTAGCTATTCACCTGCATCTCACTTTTAAACATGTCTGACTGCAACTGAGTCTGTGTATCATTGGGTCGATTTGACTATACAGGTGCTACGGTCATGCCACACGCGTTATTTTTAGGTTGGTCAGGTTTTTGGAGCATGAACTGTGGTTTGACAAATATTAACTTGCCATGGATCTTTACCTCGTGGTATTAGGATCCAAGGTGGCCATTCTTGACCGCGTGATGTGGAACGATGATTGGGAGACTCGCAGTGATGACAAATCGCCACAAGAGGACCTGTGTGACACTGAAATGCCTGATAATTCAGATTCAACCGATCTGCATGCCATCAATAGATTGCCTGCTGTCCTTTCACCTTGCCAAGGCGTCAAGCGACGAGCATGGAATCAAATAGATCACCGCATGGTGGATAACCCGGTCGATTACATCCACTCTCATCTCGGTCACGCTAGTTTTGACATCGCTCTCTCCCTTTTCACTCTCGCCCTTCGTCGGTCACTTTTCGTCTTAACTTCCTTATCCGCACTTAGGAAGCTGACGTTGTTAATTCCGATCCCTGTGCAGCCGTTAACGCTGCCATCCTCATTGTCGCAGCTTCAGCATTTTATTATACTGAAAATGAGCACATCGTCGTTGCAGATCTCTTATCAGCTCATGAACTACTCGCAACGAGGATTGGTAAAGGTTCTGCCTATGTCTTTGCAATTGCGCTTTTGCTATCAGGACAAGCTGCTTCGATTACAGTCACCTTATCTGGTCAACTCGTGTCTGAAGGTTTTTTGAAATGGCGGACGAACCCTGTTGTTAGGCGGATCGTGACGAGGTTAATTGGAATTGTGCCTGCAGCTGCAGTGGCAGGCTCGGTAGGGCTCAAAGGAATGGATGACGTATTGGTTGGAAGTCAGGTGGCTCTCAGTCTTGTTCTACCGTAAGAGTTATCATCTACTTTGTACAATGGCATCCAGCTAATCCATTTCATCCGTAGCTTTGTGATTGCACCTCTCTTGGTGTTTACCTCGAACAAAGATACTATGTCAGTAGGGATAGACCCCCCTGAGACTCTGCCACCTCCAAGCTCTTCACCTAAACTGGCCACCTCAGGGAATCGTGACGATGTTCAGTCGAGAGTGGTTGAAAACGATCACGAAGGGCCTGTGATATCAGAGGAATCAAAAGTCATACCACACTTCGCAAACGGCAAGTTTATCGTGATCCTCACATCTGCCATCTTAGTAATGATGTGTGCAGCAAATGCGTATGGGATTATTCAATTGGCAATGGGTCGATGATCAAACAACATTGAGGATGACCTTCAGATGAAGTCGATTGTGTTGGTTGCTTGGTTATTTTATTATTTTTGATATGTTATGATCATAATTGTTAACTGTTTTTTCTTTACTTTAGTTCTGTCATATGCATAGAGAGTTTTCTACACGTATTATGTTTTATGGCTTTGTTTTATGAAGTTGATGATGAGTCTTGAGGTTAGGTTCCAGATAAGTACATGTACATTGTGATTTATTTATGTGAAATATTTAGTCTTTTATATCATGTTGAATTGTATTGAAAGATTTTCTCTTTACAAAACTTGAGGGTTTTTGATATCCCAATTTCAAAACAGAACCATGTGATATGTTAGTTTTGGTGTTGAAAATTCTGTATATGTGATGTTGTGGAAGTTGGTATAGTATCTGACAGGAAATCAGAAATCATATTGAAAGTTTTTCAAAGTTGTTATTAGAGATCTTAAAATGAAGCAATGACCAAATTTATTGAACTAACAAGATTGAGACCAACTTGGAGACATATGGACATAGATTGCCACTCATCATGATACTTAATCCATCTATAATCTATTGGCTTTCTTTCTAATTTTTTGTTTTCAAGCTCACTATACATATATCTAAATTCTGTGATCTAGATTTCTTAGTCAAATAAATGTTCAGCCTGACTATCAATGTATGGTAATCCAGGCTGGGGTCTGTTTGGAAGATATGCAAACGGTGTGCTCAGACAACTCAGAAAGTAAGCAGGCACACCCAAAAGTACTTCATGTAATACCCTATACATTTGGCTGTTTCCTGATTAGGGAAATTGCTTGGTTGTGATTAGTCTAATTGAAAATTGAACCATTACCTGTTTGAATGAAAGTGTAAAAGATCAAGTATACAACTCAATTAAAAAGCTGGGAGAAGCAGAATCCAGAAGCTATTAGCTAATGATAGATTTTGCCTGCCACTGCCAAAATCCCAAAAGTCTCCCAATAGAGACAACCCTAGTGAGGAAAAAAGTTTTTCTTTTTCCAAAACAGTGTGCATGGTCCTAACCAGCAAAAAGGAACACTGATGTGCCTTTTGAATTTAGAACATGTCCCCACCCTGGATGTCAATCTAGCTTCCCTGTTTGGCCCACCCTTTTGAGAAAATCTGTCTTTTTTTCAAATGACTGAGTTGAAACCAGTTGGAAATCTGTCACCAAAATGACTGGAAAAGCACACAGACACCAATCAACCACCACATAACTAGAGAAGAGCCAAAAGGAATGATACAACAATCCTTTCTTGCCCTCTCCTTCTATATTTCAATCTCAATTCCTTGGGATATATCCAAACCAATTACTGGGAGATAAAGTGTCTGGGCAGGTCTCTCATGTTTGTATGTACAGAGCCAGGTGGTGATATTAACAAAGAGGTAATGCTGAAAACTTGAGGTGATGCAAAGAACATGATTTTTTGCAAAACCATGTCTGATAAACAAAGTTTCTCTGCTTGTAGCCAAACCACACCAAGTTGCTATGGCAACCTTGTGATCCAGGATGTTCCAATGGCCAAAGGGTCAAACCAACAGTTGGTCCCTCAGGACAAAGGCAAGGCTCCAGTGGAAGTAGAAAGAGCTCCACAGGAGCCTCACATGCTGGTAAGTTGACAGGAACTGCTCCACCACTTTACCTGGAAGCTTACCTTTGTTGTCTTCAAATTTAGACAAAAGAGGAGCTGGCAAAGGAGGAAAAGTACCAGGAGGTCTAGCAGAAGCTCAAGCTGGCCTACTTTGAATGGGAAGTATCCCAGCATTGGACAACTCAAATTCAATCAAGCTCAAGCTATGCAAGGAATTGATCTTCAGGCCCTGGAGGCACTAGACATTTCTAACCCACGACTACGGTCTCTGTCAGCCCTGAGTACCAAAACAGAGTACCAATGGGCAACATATTGTAATAAAAACCTTGAAAATAGCAATCACAACTCAAGGCTCAGTTTCAAGAGTCAAGTTACATATGATTGAGCATATGTAGCATATGCATAGCTTACACCAAAGGGTGTGAACATACAGCCGTTTCAGGAAAGATTGTTTTATGCTGAAAGTCTTGCCAATGTGCAAAACCCGGGTTTTGTCCCTCACTTGATTTTATCTCTCCACAAATTGGAAGAATAGAGAAAAGAATAAACCTGTAATCAAGTTTTGTCTCTGTTTTTACCCGCTGCGGAGACAACTTTCTCCAAAAAAAGTTGTCAACCTTTCTTGAAATGGCTGTACATAAATTTGATGCAAAACAAAGCTACATATATTTCACAGCCATATTGAAGAGGAGTGGGCTACACTTGATCTTAAGATGAAATTCAACCAAGCAATACAAGCATGACCATTGGATGAATCCAAAGCATGACATCCCTCATGTTGTCTTAGGCAAGCTCAGTCAACCTTTCTTGAAACGGCTGTACATAAATTTTGATGCAAAACAAAGCTACATATATTTCACAGCCATATTGAAGAGCAGTGGGCTACACTCAATCTTAAGATGAAATTCAACCAAGCAATACAAGCATGACCATTGGATGAATCCAAAGCATGACATTCCTCATGTTGTCTTAGGCAAGCTCAGGGAGTTCAACTATTGCCGTAAGGAGCTGTCTTTAGCAAATAGCAAGTCTCCAACTATTCAGGCATCCGCCGTCCTGACGCGGCCGACGCGTCGGATCCGCCACCTATATCAAATCAATCTTTTCAATGAATTTTAAAAAATACTGCCGCTCAGTACATGTGAAAGCATAACACATGTGTATCAATCACATACAAATACGCAGGAATGCAACTTCCTTTTATACACAAAACACGCATTCACATATATGTGAATTGCCTTCACATATATGTGAATTGCATTCACATACATGTGAATCTAATCCACAAGTATCAGATTCCAATATCACATTCATCCTGCCTGCACCTATGTTCACTGCCACATGCACAATCATATACTGACACATTCATACACATAAAACACGCATTCACATACATGTAAATTGTCTTCACATACATGTGAAGGCCATTCACATACATGTGAAGGCCATTCACATATATGTGAAGGCCATTCACATACATGTGAATTTCCTTCACATACACATGTATTAGGTATCTATATGGCTTCCACAACACCTACACCTATTTTCACTGAAAAATAAAAAATCACTGTCATATACATGAAACACGTATTCACATATATCTCAATTGCCCGACGGGGAATTCACATGAACATTTATTTCCATATATATCGTATTCTCAAAATCTAAATATGATTAAAAACTATATGAATGTGATTACAAATCACATATATATATATTTCAAATGTGATTTGAAAACACAAATATGTGATTTGTAATCACATTTGAATTCACATATATGTCATTTGTATAATCACATATATAACAGTTACACACATGTGATCCGGATTCACATAAATGTGAGTTGTATTCACATACATGTGATTTGCATTCACATGTCTGTGACCGCAGATCCCGTGTGTGTGACTATGACCCACATACACGTGAACATACAATCATATGTATGTCACATACAAACATAGATGTGATGTGAATCACATATGATTTCCAATGTCATTTGAAAGCACAAATATCTAATTCGTAATCACATTGGAAATCATGTCTGAATAACAGTCACACACATGTGATCTGGATTCACATATATGTGATCTGAGTTCACATACATGTGACATAGATTCACATATATGTGATCTGAGTTCACATGTATGTAACTGTGATCTAGATACTTTGAAAACTTTTCTGCAAATCCTATGTGATATTCATAATAACATATATGTGAATAACAATCACACAATTCAGATATATGTTAGTTGTATTCACATACATATTCACGTGTATGTGACTGTGATTCACATGTATGTGACTGTGTTTCACATACATGTGAATCCACGTCACATACATGTGAATCACAGTCACATACATGTGAATCACAGTCACATACATGTGAATCACAGTCACATAAATCCACGTCACATACATGTGGATCCACATCACATTGTGAATCACATTCACATGGATGTGACTGTGTTTCACATACATGTGAATCACATTCACATCCATGTGAATGTGTTTCACATACATGTGAATCCACATCACATACATGTGAATCAAAGTCACATACATGTGAATCGCAGTCACATACATGTGAACATATAATCATATTCATGTCACATACAAACATAGATGACCGTGAATCACATACATGAGATTTCAAATGAGATTACATATATGTGATTTAAATATCTGATTTGTGTATATATAGTGGTAAATCATGCTATTCACATCATGGTGACTGCTCTCAATATCAATTCTCATCTATAAGATTTGACCTGCATCATCCATCACCTAGATGGAATTTATGGAATTTAATGTATTCATAAGAATGATTAGGCAGTTTCTACGTCTGGGTGAACCAATTTGCATTCCAAGCATCTTATTCAAGTACTTCCTTATTGAAGCAAATCCCATTAAACAAAGTCTCACAACCAAATAAACTAGAAACAACAAGAAAAGGTAGAACACACATTTGTAATAGTTTTTTTTAATTGATAGTAGTTTTTTTAATGAAACAATCAAAGAAATAGAATTTTTTTAATGAAACTATCAAAGAAATAGATATCTATTCTTCATCCCAAATTTCTTTTGTTTCAGAAGGACGTCTGATGGTTTTGGAATGTCTTCGCCACTTTTGATAAACCTTGATATTATCAGCAAATATTGAATCCCAGCCCTGGGCTTCAGAAGTTCGAAAATTGAGCCAGTCGTGATGTAAATAAGGGATTGGTAAAGAAGGCAGCAAATCCATTTCCAAGGATATGCAGTGAGTATTCTTAATTATCGCCAGTATTATTGGTTTGGTATCATCTTGAGGAGGTGATCGAAAGGGAGGGGTAGTTAAGCAGTTAGGAATTGAATTAGAATAAAATATGACCGGTCTTTTGAAGGTGTTTGATATGACGCAACATCCACCAGGCATTGGATACCAATATTTTGAACTGGCGGTTGATTTCGGGTGTTCCAGGATTGAAAGCATCTCGGTGACCGTCGTTCCACTCGCGCTAAGTTTGGGTAGGTGTTCTTCATACCATTTATAGTTCTGCCGCACTTCAGCCGCCATTTCCGCCCGTACAGCAACTCGATCCTTCTCACTTCGACCAAGTGAGTATGCTACGGAAGCAAAAGCACAAAGCCCACTCGGCTTCACATTGGTAGCCCTCTTGATGAACGGATAAATGATCTTTGGGAGAGAGTGGATAAAGCTCCACTTCTGTTTGGGTTTAGTAAGTAAAGTTTGCCGGGAAAGACATTGGATAATCAAAGATATTGATAGTACAATACTCACATTCAAGGCTTGCTCCTCGGGGGTTGCATTCACAAGTTGCTCGTTTTTTTTCTCTTGCTCAATTTGCTTGGTTTTTTGGGCTGTGGAGTTGATGGATTGTAAAGA